TTCAGTGTCTTACTAATCTTACTAATCTCACTAACCTCACTAATCTTACCAGAAATTTAGTTGTTAGGTTTCAGGAGCAACTGGCAGCCACTTCTCTTATGATGTATCAGAACAGATTGGCATTAGACTTTATTCTGATTGAAAAAGGGGGTGTTTGTACTATGTGTAGCAAAACCCCGTTATTGTTATTTGGTTTATTATAGGTAGGCACAGTCGTCTTGTGCATTTATGTCAGGCATCCATACAGTCCAGCATCATCAATAGTTAACACTATGATTGGGCAACAGTGTTGTACTTACATCTTAAATAATACTGCTCTTGATGGCTCTATTGCTAGGGTTGAAATTTATCAGAGGAGATGGCTGACCATTCAGAAATTAAAAATTACATTGATGATTGGTTTGTTAAAATTTTTGGCAAGTGGTTCAATTTAGTGATTTCTTAGCTACATCTTTTGTGGCAGCAGTTACTTTGCTGACCTTGTGTGGATGCGGCTGCATCCCCTGCATTAGGCATCTTTGTCTAAAGTGTATCACTACTGTCATTGATAACAGATACCCCTTGCCCCCTGCCTATGAGATGGTTCAATACCATTCTCTACTGGAAACCATGCCAATGATCTCACTCACTGAGCTCGGTGAGTCTGAGATTGAAGAGGACCCCTTCGATGGGGAAGAAGACCGTGACTTTTCTCCATACTCTTGCTAAGGGTTAACACATATTCACATATATTCTTGCATGCACGTAGGTGATGTGGACTCATAGGAGTGTGATTGATTTTAATTATTGAATAGAATTTTGTGATTACTGTGTGATATTGGGAGAAAATCTTTACTCTCCAGCATATTGTATTCCTCCTGCAAATGTTATGATTAACCAATGAATGTTTGCTACATGCTGTTTAGACATTTTCCACGTTTTTGTCTGAAAAATGCTATAATTGCAATGAAGACCAGCTTATACATAGAAGCCTACATATAGGATCACAGCAACAAAGACCAGCTTACATGCCATTATTTTTATGTTATTATTTGAGAGTTTTTCCTTAGGTACTCAGCTCTGGGCTTTCTCTGGAGGGGGTGGTTTGAGGGGGGGGGGCATAATAAGCCGGCCAAAGGAGGAGATAGAGGCCACTGACATCAAGACAAGGAAGCTC